AGTCTTCTCCCCTCTAAGAATGCATAGGCCCTCTTTTTGGACGAGATTAGGATTATAAAGAAATCCTAAATGTGATACCATAAGTGTTTGATTTAAATAAGAAAACCAGAGAATTTGCACCCAAAATGAACCATGCGACTGTATGGTATAAACCTATGCGACACCATGGTTATACAAAATTTTCACTGTTCATCTCCTGTAGATGCTTGTTCGACTGTATGGACTTTCTACCATGCGACAGCATGGTAGAAATTATTTTTTCTTTGATTCACTTTGGTCCCCAAGTTTGTTTCATCCACCTTTTGGCCTTGATTCCTTCTTCTTCTTCTAACATCCCATGATTTCACAATGTGTTACTTAACTCAATTCCATGCTTGATTCGCCATTCGAGTCATCTTTTGAATAATTGAATTTTGGTCCTCGGAGTTTCATATNTGCTTGATTCATCTTTCGAGTCATCTTTTGAATAATTGCATTTTTGGTCCTCGAAGTTTCATATTTTTCTATTTTGGCCCTTTTTCGTTCATTTTCTCATACTTTTCATTCCATCCATCAATGTAATTCTATAAATACAAATTATTTCAAATTAAGCCATATTTCAACATATACATCAATAATTTTCCATATTTTGTGACCTAAATAAGTGTGCAAAACACACTTATCACAGCTTACAAGCCAAAGAAAGCCTGGGTTGCCTTACGATGATTCGACTTGCATGTTCAAGTAATTCGGGGATATGCATTAACTATAATATCTTCTACCAGGGCCAAGTAAACCTCACCTTATCAATTTGCAATCCATTCGCATTTATTGTTTTTACATAGTACATTGCAAGCAATGTTTTAAAATGCACGCATATGCTCAATGCGTTTTTGAAACGTCTCGCATATGGGGTATGCGTGTCAGTGCCGTACCTATGTTTCGCGGGGCCTGAGGCAAACTTCAAAATTTGGGGCTCCTAAATCATAACAGACAATCCATTTTTTTATTTAAAAGAGTCTTGCGGAACTAAATTTGTTAACTTAAA